GACAAAAGAAGGGACTTGAGATAATTAGGTTTACCCGCCCAAGCTGAATCTCGTATTTTTCGCATTCCAGGATGCGTATTTTTTCATGAAAAGTTGTATTCGCGTATTTTCGGCCAAAAATCGTACTAAAATACGTAAAATCGTACTGGTTGGCATCTCTGGTCGCCTCTAAGTTCACAATCGTCTTCAATTCTAAAGTTGTATGGTAATAAAAATAATAATCGTATTCGTTTGTGTAAAAGTAAAAATAATAATAATTACAATCTTAACTTTAAAAAACCCACTACTCTACATCTGTTGTTACCACAAGTATCCTAATTAACAAAAATAAATGTATCCAAAGAATTACACATCAAGTAAAAACAATAGCAATCATACATATGTAGGTCAGACAATTCGAAGAAGAACTGTTGGCAACACAAGCAAAAATTCAATCCCCTGTAAATCTCCTCCTATACTTCTCCAGTCTATGACTGAGAAGACAGATGTTAAATAACCAGGAACATTCCTCAATCAGTCAGTTCCCAGCAAGGCACTACACCTAAAGGAAGCAGTCTAACTGACTGCGGTAAGAAAGTTAAATAATTTTGAAAGCCCTCGTGTAACAAGGATATATGTTTAAAAAAAAAAAGAGACATTCTCTCCCATTCATAACCACGCCACATGTACTTTGTTGCCACTCAAATGAGAGCCAATTAAAAAGTGAGATATTACTTATCGTTGCTGTTACAAGAAAAATGTCTATACAGTCCGTGCCGGCTTTAAGCACGCCGGCCTTAAGCACGTTTCAGACTCAAGCACGCTAAACGACTTTTACCGAATTTTTGCTATATAAATTACACGCCTTTAAGCACGGTAACTTCGGCTTCAAGCACGCTTCATTTACAAGACAGTCAATATTTTCATGATGACCCATCGAAGTTCGAACACAGTTTACACCTCAGCAGTGGAGTGCGTCAAGAGAAACACAAAGAACGCAAGTGATGGACACACACTTACACGGGCGGAGAGGAAGGCAGAGAGATGCACACAACCGTGCACATGGACATAGGATCTAGCCAAGGCCTAGGGCAAAGCTACACACGACCGAAAAAAAAATACAAAGAGAGTCGGGGAGACGAGAAAGGGAGGCTGGCTGCGATTTCACCTTTGACCCTCGCTATTCATTAATCCTGATTGTGTATCACACGCGAGGTGGGATGAAGGCGGTGGTATGAGTGGCACAGCGGGCAGTGGTACACACAGGCAGTGTGTTACAGTAGGCCTAGTGTGCTGTATCGTGACTGGCCGTCTAAATTAAGTTTTCATTTCCCATTCGACCACAAAACAAAACAAACAAGTGAACAAAAACTGCCATGGCGGGTGTCTAAATAACAGTGCACACTTTTGTGGGACCGCTATTGGCCTGCTTACAAACAAAGGGAAATAGCACGGGGAATTTTCTACATGAAAATCTCTGGATTATGTCTACTTCGCACTTAAGCACGCTTCGGCTTTAATTAAGCACGCTTAAGCTTTCTCCCGATGACCGTGCTTAAAGCCGGCATGGACTGTATCTGTTTGATCTTTTGCTTTGCACTAGAGGGAGCAAAGACATTTTGAGCGACTCATTTTCATAAAACAGTCGTCTTCTTCATCTTCCTTAGCTTTGCGTTTCCCAGCTAGATCTCAGGGGTACTCGATTGCTGGATCTTCAACCTGCTGTGCAACTGATTTTTTCACATGTGACTGTTTTCCTTGTGACAGTGACAATACTTAAATTTAAGAAAGTAAAAATAGGAATCAACATCACAGACATTACTTGTCATCATTCATGCATACAAAAATTGAGGGTCTCACACAAAAATTGAGGGTCTCATATGAACATTTATATATACAAATACAAACTCTAAAGAAGGAAAAAAAAAGGAAGCATCACAGTTCAAACAAATCAGGAAAAAAGAAAAAAACAAAACATTGTCAGGTCACAACTTAAGCAGAGCAATTTCAAACATGTGCGGAGAATTCCAAGACAATTTACATGTAATTCTTCCTCTCAGTCACAGTCAAAATAGAACATTACACCAAAAATTAATCTCAAGATGTAAATAGCCGCCATCAGCCATGGTACAGTGCTGAAAATGTACCTGCTCTAATTTTACTCAATTTGAGCTCCATAAATAGAATGGAATAGAACAAAACCGAGTTCAGTCCTTTCCGTAACAATATTTACAAATCCATACAGTATCAAAATCTGTCTGTTACTCATGGAACGAAGTTGGTGTTCCATGTGTTGGACTATTTTACATCTAGATTTCAAAATGACATATGATAATAAAGTTAAATGTGCCATAAAATTCGAGCTCTGTGGAGAAACAGCACCCAATAGCTTGACCAAAAAATTGTAACATTGCTCCACCAAATGATCAGATATTGGCAACAGCAATGCTGAAAAGGAAGTTAATGATCTGGGAAAAGACTTTACACATTCATCAACCACTCTCTCTCTCCAATTAGTGAAGAAAGGGTACTGAGTATAAAAGTGCACACACAAAATGCATTGTAAGGCTCAGTCTATAGACTAGGAACAAAAAAATTCAACTCCACACAATGGGCTGACTGTTCCTAGTGGAAAGTCATCAACAGTGTTTTAGAAAGAAACAAGATACATGTACTACAAAACAAAAAGCAGAAGAGGAATCTTAGTAACCCACGAGTGAACGTTAGTGGTAATATTTTTATAAGCGAGACACAAAACAGACGGATTATTTTACAGAAGTCCTCCAAGGTCAAAATGCCATACTAGTTTAATAGAAAATAAAACATGAAAAGCCATCACTTCAGTACAAATATATAAATTTGTCTACAACAACCACAGTCAAGAAGGAATTCTACCTGTGGCGTCACGATAATCCACAGCAGCTGGACTAGACAAATGCTGATGAGACTAACTCATGTTATAATCACAAGGCTATATATTGCACATATTCACGTAAACCACATTTTTTTTTTGCTTAATAAAAACAGTTCTATTTTTAAGCAAGAATATATAGGCCTACCAATACCTCCTGTTTCTCTAAAATCCCTCTCTACATCCACTAATATCTTTTGGGTGTGATTAGACATAATGTGAACACTGACATGAAATCAAATCAAAGTCCATTGTTACAAGCAAAAGCAACAAAGATAAGAAGTCGTAAACCTATTTACAAAATGCCTTTGATTGTCAAGTGCAGAGTACCTAACCCGCCTTCTTCACTGCAGTCAAGTTACTACAGCAAGGTAGCCTATGTCTTGTGTTTAGTTTGCTTTTTTTCCTACTTAAATTAGAGAGAATCAGCTATGTAGATTTTTGTTCATTTTCAAAGACTGAAAGTCAGCCTTGTGTTACAATAAGTGGAGAATTCCTGGTACAACATGACTGATGCGTTAAAAAATTAGGAGTTAAGGTCGCCACACTGGCAATGACAATCCAACATGTTTAAAACGACAAAGCATGCTCAAGCATAATCCTAAAACTGATGAAAAGGGTCTGCTAAAAGATTCCATTTGAAAACACGAGCAGTGTTGTTACTGATCACAAATATAAACAAACTGACAATTTTTTTCTGATCACCTTATTATTACTTACATTTTGTCAAAACAGGTTAAAAACTAAACATTAATGAGCATGAACAAACAGTTCTCATCTACTCACACATTCAGCCTGTCCCAACACACATAAAAGGGAAGAAACAAAATGAAATGATGTATAAAAAGTTAAAAAAAGAATCTGCTACACAAGGAGCAATGATGATGAAGACTGAAGGTATAGCAGTTATAGTAATAGCACAGAAGCTCTTAAATAACTGTTTACTGTAGCAGAACATTTGCACATAATGCAAGTAAACACATACACTCTTCCTTTCATACACAGATACAAATGAATTCCCGAACGAAGTAATGGACTCAATTACAATCACTTCATCACATTTTTAACATCCAAAACACTCAAGGAAGAGAAAATACTTTAAAAATCCCAATACTAGGTTACAAAGGCAATGTCAATGAGTGTCACCCCCTCCTATTTTCCAAGCACTGTGAACGAAGGTATCAGAGTCTTTTCTTAACCATAACAAGTAGAAAATGTCCTTGAAAAATACTCTGCAATATATCTACCACTTTAAGGTCTATACCGAAAACCCTTCAGAGCTTATCTTTCTATACTTCGCATACATGTCAGAAAGACATGCCCAGCCAATATTATGGTAAGAGGAATTTAAGGAACCTAATCTCCTTTGTCCTTTTACACCTCAATTAATGTTTTTTTTAACCTTTCCTAAAACATTTTCCATTTTCACATAGAGTACAGTCAAACCTGTGTAAGATGGCCAGCCATTGTTAAGGAGAAAAGTGGCCGTATTAGACAGGTGGCCGTCTTAGACAGGACTGATCAAGATGAAGAAAACAAACCATTCCCATCTGAAGTCCCAATCGAAAGTAGCCGCATTGTTCTTGTTTTTGTTGTTGTTGGTTTGTATTTTGTTTGTTATTTTTATCTTGTTGCCGATTTTGCGCAAGAGTGACAATAAAATAATAAAACGAAATGTATCAGACGAGGAAGATCGAGTTCCTTGTTAAAACAAACAAATGGGTCGCCACCACTCGGAAAATTTGTTACAGACTGGGTAAACAGTGACCACTCATCTCACGTACGATTTGCGTACGAGTTCTTGGCGGGGCTTATGGGTTATGAGGGATCACACGCTTACCTCACCAGCAGCTGAAAATTGGTACCTATTGGTCAACAGTGGGAGGGGCCTATGCAACATGATCAGTTGGAGGGACTACCTAACAACAACGACAAGGGATTGGATTATGACGGCTCAGCCACAACGCCAGGGGCCAGTGCACAATTTATGACAAAGCGTAATGGAGTCATTAAGGTGGCCGTCTAAGACAGGTGTTATTGCTTAGTGTGATAGGGGTTGTGTGTTAAAATATGGTGGCCGTGGCCACGTTGGACAGGTGCCCCTTTATATCGAAAAAACGCAAGGGGGGAAATGGAAAGTGACCGTTTGTACAGGTGGCCGTCAGGGCAGGTTTGACTGTACTACCCAAATCAAAGCACTCAAACTTATCTTACATACTTGACTGTCCCTTTCTGGATTGACTGAGGAGAATGCGTACACATCCATATGAATACATACGTACTGGGATTGTGCCCACCGTTTCCCACTTCTCTTGTTGCGGATCATACACTTCAATAGCGTCAGAGTATAGATTGTCCTTTGCCCCACGTCTCCTGCCCCCAAAGGCAAACAGTTTCTGGTCCAAGACAGCCAAACTGACAAAATCCCTGGGTAGATTCATATCTGTCAACAGTTCCCACTCTGACTGGTGCGGTACATAGCGGAAAAATCCCTCAAGGCCAACCACGTAGATGGCGCTATCAAGAACGCAAGCACTAAGGCACATATCATGGGCAGGGAGAGATTTCTGCAGGATGCAGCAGACCATAGTCGTTGTGTCAAAACACTGAACAATATTCGTCACCACCTCCTCGCTGTTCTTGCCACCGAACAGATAAATGTGTTTACCATATGCCACGAAGCCCATGTTTTCCACAGCCACAGATAACTGACCAGTTTCTTCCCATTTATTTGACTTTTTCTCCCACTTTTCGATCGACTCCAGAACCATATCCTCATCAAAACCACCAAGAACATAAATTGCATGATCCACTGCAGCCATAGCATGACGTCGCCTTGCTACAAGCATGTTTGCACCGCGCAACCATGTATCAAATGTAGGATCATATTTCCAGAACTCGATGCTGCGAAGACCTCCAGACACATAAATCTCATCCCCAACCACACAAGCAGCAAATTCATTGCGTTTTTTGAAGGGCAGAGTTCTCAGCTGTGAGAATTCTTGAACATCTGATCGATAGCACTCCACGTCGTTGCTCAGTCCATCAAGAAGTCGACCTCCCAGCAGGATAGCACACTCATAGTAGGGGAAGGAATAACGAGGGGTCACCTGCAAAAGGTAGAACCAAACATATATGAGAAAATCAAGATATTATTAAGATATTTTATCTTCTTATCCACTTTTCAAAAAGTTTCAAAAGAATTTTTCTATGCGTAGTCAAAATAAAAAAGAAGTGTGTTTTTGAGGGGGGGTTTTTGTTGCATGATGTATGACTTAATGACCAAGGAATATTGTTGCATAGACTGGTAGGTATATAGCTTAAATCAAATTGGGGAAGGTTGGCATCTGGAGCAAAACCTGTTTGAGTTTTAAAACTTTTTTTCCCCTGTTCCCTTACGCGTAAAATGTGTCAGCATCCAGGTCTATGGTCATTCTAAGAAAACCATTCTGCAGACTTAAGACCAACGATACTCTGTACATCACCAACTATTCAGACCTCATTCTATCATCAGGGTAGTTTGAAAAACCTTTCCTTGTCATTATCATCACACAATCTTATAAAATGGTTGCACTTAAAAAAAAAAGAAGAGATAATGAGCATTTCCTTTGCAGTTCATTATTTCCACTGGGTGGAAACAGAGTTACAAATGGCTCCAAAAACACTGACAGAAGCCTATACACTACTCAAATTCACAAAGCGGCAAGTATGTAGAGTCAAGAAGACTTTATATAGATCTAATCTTTGACAAAAAAATACACTCCGATAAAATATTAAAGCAGACAAAATATCAGTCAAAGATGGTTCATTTGAAAGACCTGGTAAGAAGGCAGCATGTGTCGCCGCGAGGGCACAGTGTGATAGAGAACTGCCTCATCCAGTAGCTCCTTGCCACGTTGGTGTTCAGACAGGTGGCCTGCCTTGATCACCTCGTCCATGAGGTAGCTCTGCGAGATGTGCGCGAATTTGATGCAAGATAGAATCTGGTACCGGTAGCTCTTACGTTGATCGATATCGCTGTCCAGCCACCGTACAGCTGCCTCATACACCTGATGAAAGGAGAAACATTCATGTAGGTGTGAGTGAAACACATCACAAGGAAAAAACTCGATCGTCTGAAAAAACTCGATCGTCTAAAAAATCTTTCCTCTGCATTCCTCACTTCAGACGGGTCACACAAGTTGCGGCGCTCGCGACGGCTCCCACAAACCCTACGTACAATTTTTTTTTCGCTGTACAAATCACGCACGAATCGTGAGACCCGCCTCGTACCCTTGTTTGGCCAAGCCTGATCTACTTAGACTTCGTTTCGTATCTCTGGGGCCCGTAGTTTTTAAGTTATTGAAGGTAAAGGACAGTGACCCAACTGGGGTTGAACTGACCAGAACTCGCGCTTTGTTTTTTCTATACAGCTGATAGTAATCCGACAGTCGCGTCGTAGTAACGGTAGAAGAAGCCGCATGAACAAGAATCACATAATTTCGCCGTTTTTGATACTTCTGTACATTTTTACTAGTTCTTGTGTCTCAGAATATGATGTGTCTGATAGTAAGGATCCTGGATGTGTACCCAAACACGGCCCGAGTCGTAGTTCTAGGGCTAGATCTAGCACTAGCACTGGTGTTGTTGTTCGTGCAACGAAATCACAATGTCGTGCCGTACATCTGTCTCATGTAATTCAGTGCATGGCTCTGAATCAACGCACAGACCAGCTTTTATATTTTCACCAAACACTCACACTTTCATACAAATCAAAACAGAACACTTTGAACTTTTATTTTTGTTGTTGTTATGAATTTCATTCTACCTGTCACGTCTCTGGAAATTTTTCGGAAAATCAAATTCATGCCAATTTTTAAAAAATCATACAAATTAAAGTGTTAGACTTAGACAACTTTAGTTTATTGTATTAGATTAAGCTTGAACGTTACTTTACTGTGTCAAAAAATAGTTACAATAGGGTAATTTTGAGAGTTGTGGTGATTTATTGAAATACTCCCAAAAACGCCAGTCTTCAACGCTTGTGACTGGTGAAAGGGCCCAGTAGTAAGTGAGTTAATTTCAGTATCCCTCTCTGTAGGTTCAGTAAATCTGGTCCTGTTTCATGATTTGACAGTGTACATATTAAATAAACTAACATGGGAGAGACAATTAAGTAGACAGTACTATAAATTCTTAATTTGGCTAAAAACTTTGCAACAAAGGGCAGTACATTTAACAAGATTTAACTTTCTGAGACTAGGAAGCTTGTTTTAAATTTCCTATAATATCTGTGAAAACAATAAGCAGTTATTTTTTCCACAACAAAATGGACCCTTCTTGATCAAACTTTATATCAGGCTATCATGAAATTAATCAGAAAATAAGTTCTGTAGGGTTACTCACAGAAATTCTCAGACAATGGAATTCACGCCCTGCACAGTGTCATCTTATAATTCAAACATCAATTATAGAGCATGAATGAGTCTATTGAACATGATCCTGATTCATACCTCCTCTTCTGAACAGCACTTGAGTCTACGATCCTTCAACAGATCCACTATGCACTCGGGAGACAACTTGAGGAAATCTTCGTCAGACATGACCGTATGGAAGTGCTCACAGGCAAAGCATAGGGCAAACTGGTACATGGGAGCGTGCCCGTGTGAGTCGGCCAACATCATGGCTGCCAGGCATGTGGTTTCACTCATTGACTTCTCCAGGTACTGAACACATAACTCAACCAGTGGGTTGATCTGGAATGAGAGATAGTTTCAAGGTTTTAGATCACTATATACACGAATGGTGGGTCATAAATGCCCAATGAAACAGATCTGTATAAAACAAGATTCATAAGTTGAGCAAAGGAGATGCATCAACACAATACTGATCATATAAAGCGTGTCAAAAGCAGTACAATGGACAGTTATAACAGATGATAAAAAAGAAGCAGAACCAAGCCAAAGATACCCATCGACCTCCCCTGCGCCCAAACAGTGGACAGGATCAATATGAAGAAAGAACGATACTACAAAAACAGCTATATGTATTTGAAACAAAAGTTATCCCATTTTACTGGATTTATGTGTGGAAAAATCCCATGACAGGAAATCCTTAACATTTCTTACATAGCCTACTTTAATCCTGTAACTCACTCACTGCCATGTCCGAACCCTGTCTGGTGATCCACGTAGACCACTGCCTGCCAAACCCGAAACACGTCGGGTGTGTTTTTACTACTATTTTTCAAACATTCCGTGACGTGTTTCGGGCTTGGCAGTCGGAAGTAGGCGACATAAGCCAGTTTAGTTTCGATTCCGCATTGTTGCAGTAACTTCCCTTGAATAAGTTACTTAAAAATCAGATTTTTTCGAACTCAACCGAATCGAACTAAAAACTACTAACGCTCAGTTACGATGGCGACGGCGTCTCAATGAGGTCGGAACAAGTGAATTGATGGACCCATTCGTCAATAAAGGGTCAGATTTAGATCTTTTTGCAGATGATAGTAATGATGAACCATCATACAGAGTTGATAATGAGTATAGGAAAGGAAATAGGAGAGGTACGGACACAAGTGAAGATGAAAATTGTGCTAGATCTAGGCCTAGATCTAGAATTGGGCGTTCCCCATGCTCAGACCAATGATCCGATGCTTCCAGGTCCCGGTCGTCACGCAAACGTCAAAGATCACACAACGTAAATTTAGACCCCAAATGATAGGAATACAGCTGACATAAGACCCTCCTAGGTCTACACAACAAACTTCAAATAGTGGCACTCCTTCCCAGTGGCCATGCCCCGTCCTGCAACCACACACCCTGATGTTGATGCTCAGGATGGGTGGACTGATGACTTGAATTGTCAGATATCTTTTCATAGTGACTCTTCAACCTTTGTCAGTTGATACAACATCTATTTCTTGCAGAGACAAAGATATAAAGGCATGCATATCGACTGAACGTACCGAACACCTAAATATTATGTAAAAGTGTTTTTTTCTCGATTTTGCCACATATTCACAAACTCATAAAATTTCACACGATAAAGGTATTACAAAAATTCTTTTTGATTTGTTGAGTATGTTTCAACGTCATTGTTTGTAGAGAAGTTCAATGCTGTACACAAAATAATAAGCTCACAGTGAGGTTTTGAAAATGGTCCCGAAAGCCTGGCATTCCTCAGTTACCCTGCCGAGAAATGCCTGGCAGTGAGTGAGTTAATTTCAGGTAAATGACTTTTTGATTGATCAACCTGAAACAACTGTGCTTGGGTGAACAGATCCTGCACTGTCGTGGAAGAGATCTCCACATTTCCTGTGTAGATAAACTGTATGACTTGTCCAAACACCAATGGATCAATCTGTTTCAATTCAATCTCTCGCTTGCGGCTCTCCTCCATGCCTGAGGCAAACATAGACTTGAAATACGGAGACCCAGCAGCTAAAATCACCTGGGGAAATCAAGCATACACATGGGTAAATATTAGTGCTGACCACACACAAGCTCTGTACTCTGTATGCGTACAAACAAAAATGGTGCTGAAAAAGTCTAATTTGGTATTTGGCACCAGCCATTTCAGGTTATAACAAACAGAGCATTTGGTGAAAGATAAATTATGCACAAATGAGAAGCAACAAAAGCATACCTGTTCCATGTGAAGTATTTAATAATAGACACAACTTCCCATTAACATTAACACAAATCCTCTTTATGGCATTGCAACATGATGTATTTTCTGGCTACTGCTGTCAACATTTTAACTTTGCACTTTGTTCACACTCAAGATGCATCAGGGTATGGGTTTGTCAAATGTTTTGATATGTGCAAGAAAACGACAGGGAACAGTGTATCATGGCCTGAGGCAGTGTGTTTTCTGACATTCCTGTGAGGATCAAGGCAGTAAACATGAAAAGCTTTCAGCATTATTAGTTCAAGGTAGAGAGAAGCCCACTGATATAATAAGGGCCATTTAGTGATGGTTAAAAGCAAAAAGAGACTGACATAAAAAAGGGACGTGAAGAAATAGGATTTACCTGTGACACAATCCAACCAACTGCGAGCAGTTTTAGCAGTGGTAAACAAGTAAACTAAAGTGCTATAGAGAAAAACTTATCTTACTTACTTTGTGACATGGGAACTTTAGGTCATCAATGGCAATGACAAGGTCAGAGTAGCTCGTGTCCGCGCGCATGCGCTCAATATTAGCAATAAGCAGTGCCGTGTGTTCCCCACTACTGAGCCGACATTTTGTGTCCTTGATGGAGTCTCCGCAGCCACCCCCACCACCGCAACTATTACTGCTGATGCTTAAATCATCCATTGGCTGAAAAAAAAAGACAAAATAATATTTAAAGATCATATTTCACACAAACATCTTAAAAACAAACACCAACCCGAATGAGGCTTCATCCTTACTCCCAACAATTTCCTCCTTCATTAGATCTATCAAATTTGTAAAAGTAAAGTAAACCAGTTATCTTTGGATCCAATCTGGTCTCATTCAGACTTTTTTTTGCTTTAATTTAGAATCTTGCTTTCTTTCCACAATGTGTGTGGTTTTTGGAGCTTTTTTTTTAAGGCACTGAATAATAAAATTCCTACCTCTTGGTTTCGACAAAATTAACTTCCACCCTAAAGTAGCAGTTTGATTTCTTTTCTCACCCTCAACCCATTTCTGACACCAACCATAATAATCTATAAAAATACTAGAATAGGCCTTAATCTAAGAACGACATTGAATACCGCTGTGTTAGGAGTCTCAGGTCATAAACAAAATTCACATCTATTGTATTTGTAAAGTGTTTTACGGTGCTCGCAACCGCATAAGGTCATATGAGCGCCCGGGACACACCTAATATTTTCAGTTGGTAGGAAATTTTGAATTTTGCCCGAAGCCTTCTCTTATCGATTTTAGACCACCAAGGGATCTTTAACGTGCGCAACTTGCACACGGGCCCTCCGAGATTTTTTGCCCTTGTCCGAGAAGGCTAGGTGTAGATCTTTCCTACCAGAAGATCAGGGGTGTGGCAGAAAGACAGCAGTTAGGAGGAGCCAAGGAGTAGCAGTAGAAAGGCTGCAGAAAGAGTCAGAAGCCCAGAGGAGGGGGCAAAGGTGAGGGGGTGGGGGCAGAAAGTGGAAATGAAAGCAGACAACAGAACATTGCTAGAGAGCAGGAAAGGAAGTGAAAGGAGACAATTTTAGAGAAGAAAATTTTTCGGTCGCTACCCGGATTCGAACCCGGGACCTTTGAATGAGAGGCCAACATCTTAACCTCTAGGCCACGAGAGCCCCCAAATTCACATCTATCTCAGTGAAAAACAAGTTCGTATTGTTAAGCCTAAAGACAAACTGGGTACAACACAAATCAACAGTTGAAAATGTAAAGAAAATCTACACAATCAATCACAATATGTGTGAGATCACCAGACTTGAAGAATATTTAAAGGGTGGACACTTATTGAAAATCAGACATTAAGCTCAGAGAGTAGCAGATCATCCCAAGAGCTGACATGGAAGTTGGAACTAGTTTTATGTTTACCTAGGCCTATCCTTGAATAAACTATTTATAATTTAATTAGCAAGAAAGGAAAATAGAAAATTCGCATCAACTATTTACTGTTAGTAATCTGATAGGACAAACATTTTCAAGCAGCCTAAGTTTAAAAAACACAATTCATGTTTCCACACATAGTCAAAAAGAAAATACAGTCAAACCTGTCCATAACAGTCACTCAAGATCACTGAAAAGAGTGAGCGTTATAGACTAGTAGCCTCTATGTACTGAGTCTAGACAGTGGTGGAGAATACTGAAAGGCTTAAGGGCCCCCCCCCCCCCTTTCCCTATGCACGTGAATGAATATTTCTTAATTAATTGAATAATCAGCTGAAACTGTTAAGCCTACTTTAAAAATCTTAGACCTCTAGTTGCGTGCAGTGAACACATCCAATCATTGTCCTCATCGTTTACTATCATATGATAGTTACTTAACAGCCAATCAAATGTCTTTAGGGCTCAGTAAAACATGAGCCTGGTCCTATGGTCCTTTCTATAAGAAACTCTTCTTGTTAAAAGGTAAGCAAACTTTGTAAAAGAACTCACGAAAACTGTAGTGGAGGATCTTTGTGCTCTGCAAGCCCTGACTATGGGGTGAAAGTTCAAGACACACTTTTCCCCCAGACCAAGGAGATTAAAAGTAATGGAGGATGTTCTGTGGGCGGCACTGCACGCCTGATAGGAGCCCTCTCTCGCGGCGGAACTGTGGTCTACCTGCGCTGCGCGAATGCTCGGCTCACGCACTGAAATCGAGATAAGAAAGAAGGTTTTATTCCGAGGTCCTTGAGATTAGGCAAGTCAATTAGTAAAAATGCCTTGCACCTGTGTTGTATTTAAGTGTAAGAACCGATATGATGCCGCAGTGGACTGAAGTTTTCACAGTTAAGTTGTTTTCCTTTTTAAAAAATTGAATGAAAGTAGTTTTTATGCCCCCAGCAACACAATTTAAATCATTAACATTCATAAGAGGCTGGCTCCGGCGCTACCTGCCAAGGCCAACCCAGGCTGAAAGGGATACAACACCCCAGCAGAAAGACCGAGATACTCAATTTTTAAAAAGTATTCTTATTCCTATATATATATATATATAATTATTATGTGTATATATATAATTATTAATATGTGCATGTGTGTATGTATATACATATTATACATTTTAATTAAATATATTGCTTTCCATTGTGTGTACAAATTAGACGCTACTGTTGTCTAATATGGAGGCTCCATTAGAATATGAAATCAATACTCAAAAACAATAAAGATGAATATTGTCTATGTTAAAGAAACACCAAACCATATCAGATGAGGGGAGAGGGTAGGGTGGGGTGGATAAGAGTTTGAGTCTTGTTAGATAGAACTATACTCGGTTTAATTCCATTGTTGTAGTCTTCACCTAAGATCCCACAATCAATAATTCCGGTTCACTTAAGATTCTGCTGTTAAAAAATAAACCAAACAAAGCAACAACAAATTTTACTACACAAGAGTCATCACTAAGATAAATTATCTCCCTCTGGAGAGTAAATAAGGGACTAAAAACGCTGCTCTCCATATCATACTTTACTGAACCAAAAAAACCAACAACCCTTCAAAGGTCATCCACGCTCATGCATGCGATCACACCTCCAAAGGTGCTGTTATCTCTTTTTTAAATATTTGAAATCATTGTGCACTCCACTTTGTGAAAACCAGAAAACAAAATTATTGTAATCAATAATATTATTATTTATAGACCAAGACATACTGTTAGCAATCAGATAAAGCTGGCATCGACCCTCTTTTGTGTTCGCTATTCCTTACACATAAAGTTAGTTATGGCACACGCCTAGAATCATGCAGTCATATCTTAAATTCAGTTTAAAAATATATTTTTATCCATTTCTTATAATTAAATATTTTAGCATCTTGAAAGATTATCTTTATAATTCGGTATGTTTGATAATTTTATGTTACTCGGACAGGTTTTCTTATGTTACACACCTTTTTGATTTTTAAACTAGATTATAACATAAAACTCTTAAAGAATTGAACAGTTCATATCACACACAGAATTTATTATTTTTTTTCTCCCTGTCATTATCCGTCAGCCCATCAGTTGATCACAATCTCTCTCTCTCTCTGTTTGTCTGTCTGTCTGTCTGTCTGTCTCTCTCACTCTCTCTCTTATTTAATTTTTCCCATTCTCCTTCGTCCCTTCCCAAGGCCCGCCTCTCCTCTTTCATCTCAGCCCCATCCCCTCTTCCTTGCGTGCATTCCCCCACCCCGCCCACCCCCACAACGTGACCCAGCGCGATAAGATTCTATAAAAAGAAACGCCACAGTTCGTGATTTAGCCCACACTCGGCGGCCATATTTGATCCCCACCGCGGCGTACTACTCGTGGCGCCGCGAAGAGAGAGAGGAGGCTCCATTAGTTCTAAACTCCATGCCCCAGACCCAGACTCATTGGATCCTTGTAACAAATCCGTCTTGCCTTCAGCGACAACATGCCACATACACACACATATATAATAATATATAATATTTATCTCTATATATATAGTCAACATGTACACATACACAAACATACACACTCAGTCATATATCTAGTCTTTCCTCTTAACTGAGGAAATCTTACCTTTGAACTCAATTTTCCCTCATCTAAGCCCCACCCACATTCTGATCCACCCATTACAACTGGGTCTAAATTACAGGCATGATTATTACAAATGAAAATATAAATATGTGGAAAACTACCAACAGTAATGCATAGGGTCAGGTCATTGGACACTTGCATGTCATTGGGTAACAGCCCTGTTTTATTTTTTATTATGCATAGTGCCTAGTCAGGTGATTAGGGGATAAGCCAAGTTTCTTCTTTACATTGATTGAATGTACACACTCAGTCTAAGGACAAGCTGGTGGAAAATTTTGTAGTACTAGACAATCATGAGCAAGTTTTGAGGCCGACTTCTTGTAGCTAAAATGACTCACTGCGGCCATGTTGGACAAAGAATGCTATGAACAGGTTTAAAATATAGTGAAAAACATTAGAGGTGATGCAAAACAGCTTTTACTACAGGAGACCGCTATGGAGAGGTGACTGGTGAGGCAGGTTCAACCAAAATAATCAATAAAATTACATTTTGCGAGTGGAAGGACAAATTCACTGTCAGCAGCTTTCTCGTCAATCATATTCAGAATCTGCATACACTTCACAATAAAAAATCATAGTTATACAAAAACAAACAAATGAACAAGATAATCATACAGAGTAAACCTCAAGCAAAAACTTGTCAGCTTGAGACTTCAGATTATTTAAAACAAATGAAAGAAAACATGTGCATGGAAAGTGGTTCTGTGCTGAATCATGGTTACTGAAGATAGGGATACGCCTCATTCCTAGTTACTTTAGTCCTGTGCTAAAAGCTACCATTTAAAATCTGTATTTCTGGTAACAATAACACTAATAAGTTTGATGATGGTAAACTCCCGCACTAGCCTACTGCATGTCCTGGGTGGACTGTGTCAACAGAAGTTGCTGTGGCTGTCACAGCTGTGTAAACAAACAGTATGCAACAGTGATGTAGTTGTAGTAATGGCAGCAGTCTTCAGCAGGCAGATACTGTTTAAATAAAGGCCAGCTATATTCGAACTCGAGTCCGATTAGATGTTTAATCTCTATTCGGACTCGAGTCCGAATATTTGTTTCGAGCTCAGGTTTAAAAAAATGTTTTATTTATTCGGACTCGGCTTCTAAGTGAGTTCTGTGAGGATAAAGAGGTTACATAATAATATAACTGTCGTCGGGGGATTTTATGTATTTATAACCAGAATTAGAACTAAACTTGCCTACTTAACTCGGACTGTGTAATTTTGTGTCAAAAGTCAAAAGACTGCACTCTCATGGCCCAATGGCAGTATTTTCTAAGTACATGGTAACTGACAACTCAGGGTCTTTCCACCACCACTAGCGTACAGCATCATCATTACTACTTCCACCGCCGTTTGTCCTTCCACATGTTTTAATTTCATTTTGTTACATGTTTTCCTGTAATTAATTTTTTTAAAAATCACATCACACAAAATCGACAGCCATGGCTTCTTCAACATCTATTCCCCCCCAGCAAGCAGAGAGTGCGAGATTGTTACGCGCAATTCCATTGGTTGACATAATTAACTTTGCCCCCGGCAAGGTCAACTCAACTTGGCTGTAGGCTTGGGCAGAATTGAAAAAAATAGGACTTTCAAGTCTCAAGTCCTAACACCTTGAGACCCGCAAGTCTCAAGCCCAGTTTCAAGTCCAGGGGACGTAATAAAGTATACATGTAACACGAATAGTCTCTTTGATAGTAAAGCCATCAGCATTACTTCCCTTTATCGTTATCATTATTTTGTTGTTCTCCAACCAACCACCTATGTTGAGACGTATGGAACATCTTTGTGATACTTGTTAGGCTGATTTTTTAATATAAAAAAAAAAAAAAAATTTTTCTTCACTTGTTTTTTGTTCTGTTCTCTGTTGTATTAATAAACTCAGGAATTGCTGCAGCCTTGGATGGCAATGATGGCATTGAAGCCTTATTAAAATATCCGGGCCTAAGCCTGCCTACCCCTTATTGAGGAAGTGGACTCAACCAATCTGCTAAGGGCCATCACATCCTAGCAAGTGATAGGGGTGGTACTGCCTACCCCTTATCGAGTAAATGGACTCAACCAATCCGCCTAGCAAGTCCTAGCAAGTGGTAGGGGTGGTAGATGTATTTGAATTAAAACAACCAACAGAAAACACTAAATTTATTAGAAAAATACCACCAGTTTTGAGCATAATTTCTTTAAACATTGGTTTACTGAGTCTAGATCTAGATCTATATACTCAAAGTTTGCAATCTGCGTTTAAATAATTTTGTCTTTTGATTGAGGGATATTTTGCTAAGTCAAGACTTGGACTTGCTCAATCTAAAAATACTTGGTCTCAAACACTACTTGGTGGGCACGAGAATTTCAAGTCTCAAGTCCAAGTCCTGCCCAGGCCTACTTGGCTGTTCTGTTCATGCTAATGATGAAAGGAGGGCCAGTTTAGACAGGAGATCTAGTAACAGGATAAATTTTATAAGCTCACGTCTCGATTGTTATCACTACAATTGAAAAATTTGTTATAAAATAAACAAGTCTTCAGGAACAAGGGTCGGAAGTCAGAACGGACGTCATGCTAGAGTCAGTTCAGAGTCTGAATATAATTTTTGTCTAATCGGACTCGCGTCTGAATAAATCTAGATATGTAGGGCCGGTGATGTTGCAGTTCCGTACATTAAAGTCCACGACCCATTTGTTTACATTCAGAGAAGATGCCAGAAGTCTTGATGACCATATAGGCTAGGCAACACAAAGAACAGGGATGCAACCTAACTGCAAAATATCAAATTATGGTCAAATTCAGGGGGAACCCCCCCCCCCCTCCCAATTTTTATTTAAAGGTCAATCCCCCTTGACAGGGTCCCCACCAAATCCTGCAAAATTTTTTCAAGACCCCCAAATTTTTTTCAAGACTCCAATTCGAGGGAAAAATCAGGCCGCGGTGCGTCAAGAATGATCCCCAAAAAAGCCAATCTACCAAAGATAAAAAGTCAAAATGTCTATAAATGAATGCAAATGTACATTTTGTAGTATAGTCTTCAAACAATAGATGACGATAATACTGGGTGACTGCCAAACCAGCTTCTTAATTTTCCAAGGGAGGGGCCTCATCCATTTTCCAGGAACATGTTACATAACAATGAAAGCGTGTGCTCCATTTATATCTAATATAATACATGTATATGTTTGTGAATACACACACACACACACACATGTAGGTACATTATATCCAGTCAACAACATGTCAGTGTGGCACTGGGATCTTGAGAGACTTTGGTATTTCAGTCTGTTCTTACTTATTTATATTTTCCCATCATCATATTAGCCAACATAACAAACTATAGGCCCTATATAAAAAAATAAATCCTGTTTTGAGCCTGAAAAAAGACCTAGAACTAGAAAATCGACTGTCAATAACCAGTCTGGGTGTCCTGATTCATATAATAAACGTGAAGACGAAAACCATTGCTGCAACTCAAAGTAGAGTAATAACTAGAATGGCTCAAGTACACCTATTCAGTGTGAGATATGTAAGAACTGGGGGGGGCGCAAGATGCAGTGACACTGAAAATCTGCCAATCTTGAACAGAAAGCTAATAAAAAATAGATATATAAATTACAATCACCCCATCCAATGAAACGCGAACACTTTAGTTCAATAACAAGGCATGACGGATCCTGATTCCACACAAGGCCTGCACCAACGCGCGCTTTGCAGAGAGCTCTAAAGTAGTGATCAAAATGCTAAAAATTTGCTTCCAAGTTCAGTCTTTGTCCTCTAGCATTGCCTTCAGCTCCCTCCCCCTCCCAATCCCCTTCCATGAGTGTATCTTATAAAGGAGTCCTAGTCCTATACTTCACAGCGCTCAGACCGCCAGTACTCACAGGTTCATTGATCGGTCACGAGGGCGAACCTGTCAAGACACTTGTATAACTTCTTTTTCTTTTTTTTTTTCCACAAGCGACAGCAGAGGGCAATTTTTAATCGAAGTGACTATTTCTCCGAACGTTTGGAGAAATAGTGCCGATCTTTATTTCTCCGAACGGTTTCCGGCTTCCGGTCTCGTGATTTTTTGTCTATTTATTGCGAGAGTTCGGCGCCAACTTTCATTCTGCCTCTGGCCTCTGGTCTGGGAAGGAACACTGCATGGCAAGCCCGCCTACAGACAACCTTCAGTAACACCCACCACCATCATGCACATCATGTACACACACTAACTAAACATGACCAGTGGGCAACTTTTGAACGTATGACGAGCTGAGCTGTGGACGGAGAGACAGTGTGAGTGAAAGAGCGGGTGAAAGGAAGAATGTGCGAGTGTATCCACAGGCGACAGCAACTACAAGACAAGACGACGACACCGACCCCCTGGCCTGGTCCACAACTCACGAAAGAAAGGAATGCAGCTCAGGCAGTGTTTTGCCTATATTATTGTCCATGGTTCGCAGGGTGCAAAGGAAAGAATGATATTTTCTTTGTGTGTGCCTGGAGGGAGGGGGTGGGGTATGAAGAAAGTCATGCGGACAGGGATGAGCGGCGGGAGAGAACACGGGAATTGAGCCTGAATTGAATGAATGAGGGAAACTGAAAGAGACGAACGACTCATGAGCCCTGGAGTGAATGGATCCTGTGTTTCTATTTTTGTATACTTTGAACTGTTACTGAATACAGGCTGAGTACATTGGTCGCAGCAGTGACAAACGCAGATGCCAGTTCTATGTGTCGTTATCAATAACCCTCCGTAGATCTAGATCTAGATCTAGACAGCACACGAGTGAACACAACACATTACATTTAAGAGCAGCACCCTTCATAGGCAACACGCCATATCTGTAGCGAAAAACTGTTTGGAATTGTAGCATTTCTTTATATAAATATTTACTGCGGACATTTTTTGGACCGCTTGAACCATATTGTATACGAACAATCTTTGGTAAGCTTATACTATAATTATAGATCTATATAATATCCGAAATTTGCGAGAAAGGATGTGATTTCAGAGTGTTCGGAGAAATAGTGCCCAGCTTTATTTTCCCGAACGTTCGGAGAAATAGTGCCGGCCATTTTTAATATTGATTTATTTTCAAGGCGACACAGCGTTCATAATGCACAACCTGCATGTTACAAATGTTTATCTATCAGACTATTACCAGAAAATTTCTGGGCGGCAACGAAAGCAGATCTTGATTCTTCCCGATCGAGCCTCGGTGTCACACATACACTTCCGCCACAGCGGTTCAATTACGTTTCCTCTTTAGGATTCATCAACAATACAGTCTAGATAGCTGCACATTACACAGGCCCTATACTTTCCCGACTTACCGACCCATCACAAAATTCCCGACTTTTTCCCGACTTATCTCAAAATTCCCGACTTTTTCCTGATTTCCCGACCCTGTGCGTACCCTGCCTTGAAACCCCCCTACTCTTGACTCTTGGGGCCCAAACCGGGGAATAATAATTCGGGGGTGGGAACTGCCGAAAAAGCGCCATTCTTTGCTTGAATTTTGATTTTCCATTCTCATGCTTAGTTCACTCCTCAACGATTACCTGGCAATTCAGGGTCTCTCGCGTTCAGCTTTGGACTTTAACGAATAAAACTACAAAATCACCATTGGGCCTACTCACTTCGTTGGTGATCTTTTAGCACGTTAAATTCTTCAATTGATTTTGTCTAAGTTATCGTGACGTAGGCTAGTGGTCTGCGCGTGCACACATGTGCGTGTGTGGCAGGACAGATAGATCTAGATAGATAGATTGATAGACCTCTAGCCTATGATAGCTTGGATCTAGATCTAGATAAAATCAATTGAAGAATTTAACGTGCTAAAGTATAAGATCACCACTTCTCGTTTAATAAACGTTTCAAAATATCTAGCAGATTTGGTGCTTTTTTGGTAGTTCCCACCCTCCTTATTTGAGCCTAGATCTAGATTCTACATCTAGATCTAGATCTACATCGTCTCCTATACGTTTGATGCGTGGCGAGCTAAGATATTCAAACCTAACAAAAAAACCATCAAATTATGGTAAAATTCAGGGGGGCATGCCCCCCTGAAACCTCCCAACTCTTGAGGCCAAAACCGGCGAATAACAATTGCGGGGTGGGAACTACCGAAAAAGGGCCGCAGATTAGAGTCAACATCAACAATGACAAAAATTCTATACTCAGTCTCAAGCCTTAACACTCACGCCTAGATCCAGATCAAACTAGATCTATATCTAGATCTAGATTTATTAACAGAAAAGGTTGGGGAGGACTTCCGTAATGAGCGACCACTATGAGATAGAGCAGAATTGAGGGCTTGGGGTAGGGTTAGGGTTAGGGTTAGGGTTAGGGTTAGGGTTAGGTCTAGATCTAGGCCTCTTCTTTATTGTGTTTGAATGGGTGGTCGTTCGTTACGGAAGTCCTTCCAAAGGTTGAATCAACATGATCTATGTTGCCTTGTCTTGTTGACTTTCATCCCCCCTCCCCTTCAACTTCAAGTCCCAAGTCCACTTAGTGCCTACTGCCTGCCCCAGGCCCCAGGCCAAGTAAGGCGTAAGGGGCTCGTCTTCTGTCTTGTTGCAGCTTGTTCGAATATTTAAATTCTAATTTTGGGACAGGAGTCAACAAAACCACAATCGTAAAACTCTGATATATCTATAAATCAAATGTATCAGTAACAAACCTATGCCTTAGATGAAAATAGCCCTTGAAAACAATTGAATGTTGTGCCTAGCCTGTAGAAAGATGAGACTCCAAAGTACCTAAACACCATACAAACAACTACAAGGCAGGAAGTTCATCAGTTCAAGTTCAGGTGAGGGCAACGTCGGTGAGGACACAAGTTTACACTAGACCTACTACAAATCAGTCTCCAATTATCCGTTTCAGTTATTATTACTGTCCGCTATTCATGAAAATGCTTGGCAGAGATCGTATTTCACAATGTTTGTTTTCGATCCTGGTTGGTGCACAAAATGCTAGTCAAGTAAAGAGATCTCGCTTTGAATCTTTGATAATTGTATTGATATAATGAACTGGTTCAAAAAGATTCCTTGACAAATAATTAATGTTAGCTATTTCAAATGTTCGCTTATTATTGATATTTCAAATACATAGTTCAAAGAAAACACTCTCAGGTGGACTCAGTTCAAAGTAATACTAAAATTTCCATATTATTTTCCTACATTGGTCTATTCTTTCTCATATTATGGCTGTAGATTTATACAATTAAATAGTGTACTTAAAGATAATTTTTGCATGGGTTCTTATTCTGTTCAGGGTACCGTAAAATGTTCGAGCGGAAACTGACAGCCTTTGCTAAAATTGTTTTTTTTAGAACAATGAGTTCCTCCCTGCCTGGAAGCCTATTTTAGCCAAATTCTGTGATTTTAGCCTGCTATCTTTCCTATTTCTAAGCGTTCCAAGCAAGTGAATTAGGCTACTCCCTACACGTCAAGACCAAGAATTTAGGCCTATTTATTCTTGGCTTATTTATTCTTGGCCTATTGTGCTGCAAATCACATGAAGACTGAAAAAGGTAGGCCTAACGGATTATGTGAGATTCTAGGCTAGAGTTTTTAACTCACGACTGGCGACTCGGAGACGTCGTTTGTTGTCTATGGCAATTATACATGCACTGTCATTTAGGCACCTGGTTTCGTCTCAAATACAAATACTTTAGGTACTGCACACTAAAAAAGTATATTTACAATTCAGTAGGCCTATTTTTTGTTAAATGGTCAGTCTAGCCATCATATTAAGAATAAGTACGGCTAGACTGCGAGTCTAGCCGTACTTAAGTACGGCTAGACTGCCAGTCTAGCCGTCATTAAGTACGGCTAGCACTGAGGTGGTGAGATGTTTCCATGCCTATAAGTTTGTTTTGTTGAAATAAACAATTTTTCAAACTGTGTTTGTGTTGTGTTTGCTTCAGATAAACTAGATCTAGAAAACCATTAAGATTTGTTGATTTTTTTATTGTTCATTTTTTTAATGACTGATCTTAGGCTTGCGGCTTAGGCTAGGGACGTCTATCGTCACTTTTCAGAAGGACACCATTTCCCATTGTCTAGGTCTAGATTCTAGATCTAGATCTAGATTCTAGATCTAGTCAGATTGCTCATCTGGAGAAGGCCAAAAACTCATATTTCCACAAAAATATTATGTAGAATTTGGAAAATAGCCTTGAAAAGTTGTTACAACTGTAAATCTCAAGCCTTCATGTCCTTAGACCTAGGCTTGGGATCGATAATAGGGCAGTATTTTTTACCACACCTATCCATCTGAATTAGTATGCTCTCAAAATGCCATCTAAGCCTACCTTTCTACATGAAATCTGTGGAAAACTTGTTTATTCATTCAACTTTATTCCGTACACTCGGTTTATTATTTTCCAGCTTGCTACGACCTATGATTATGTAAACATCTAAAATCTCATGGGTCAAAACACAAAATTAGTGAAAAACATTCATATTGTTTTCAGGAACCTCGTGAATATGAGGTATCCTTCAGATTTTTGTGATTTGTTCCTACTAGCACAGGGATGAGGTTGAATGTGCCCCCTCCACCTTTATTCCAATCCCCCCTCCTTATTAATTTTGGACCACTTGTCCACACCCCCTCTCCCTCCTTTAATCATCTGACATTGTCAACAGCCGTACTCCAGGAGTGCGACATCTTAAACTGAGATCGTCTTATCATGTCTTATTCTTCTTCTCGGCAACCAAGATTTGCCATTCATTTCTCTGCTCAGATGCCTTCAAAAGAACCTAAATTATTGTCCCTGTCACCTGAAGCGTTAAACATATAAGTCGACCTTTATTGGCTTGTATATATAGCATTTATGTGAGTTGGAAAGCTGTTCAAATTAGATTTAAAGTTGGCATCACTTCAAAATAGGTGCCTTTTACATGGTTCTCTGTGCGAGCCTCTTGGGGGGGGGGGACCTCTGGTTATAGATCCATCGGTGGCGTGTCATGTGACAAGACTGCTGCTTCTCATTTTATACAAATGTGAGAGGAGCCCGCGCGGACTGAGAAATCCCATTTCATGTCATGATTGCATAGTCAAATACTTGTAGCCCATATAAAAACAACTTGATTTTTTAAAGATTTTAAGTCAAGTTGTGGAAACAGGGTTTATCTAAAGGACATTGCAGTCTATTAGAAGAGAGGAAAAAAAGAGAGCGCTCTATGGGGTTGGATGGGTGGGGTTTACTTTTCCAAGCACTCATCTTTCAAGTCAATTTGTGTTTTTGTTTTTGTGTGATTATGATGTGGCAAGTCTTATTAGAGGTTGATGACACAAACAGTGTGTATACATTTAGGTATACAGAAAAGAGCGGGAGGGCTTTGAGTAAGTGCCAGTTATGTATGCTTGGGACTATGGTGAACAAAGGTACATTTGGCAAAAGGCTATGTTTGTCCTATTATGGGCTTCTCAAGTTAAAAGTCTGCTTTCCCCCCCTTCACTGTAAAATAATACAGTATTCAATTTACTTTTTTTCCCATAATTGAAATCAGAGCTGGGTTGATTTAAATCAGTTGATTTTTTAAATTTTAATCAACTTGATAAAAAAAAAAAAAGTCAGTGATTTAAATAACTTTAAAAAATGTATTCTGTTTTTACATATTTAAACATTCAGAATTCCTTTCCTTGGTTTTATTAAACAGATATTTATATAAGGTTTAGTAGACTAATATAATCATGCTTAAAAGTCTGTTTCCCCCCTGTCACTGTAAAATAATACAGTATTCAATTTTCTTTTTTTTTTCATAATTGAAAACCAGGGTTGGGTTGATTTAAATCAGTTGATTTAAAAAAATTTAAATCAACCTGATTTAAAAAATAAAACTCAGTGATTTTAATCACTTTTAAAAAATGTATTGTTTTTACATCTTTAAACTTTCAGAATTCCTTTCCTTGTTTTATAAAACAAGTTTATCTATGTTCCCTTCCTTTTAGACTGACATTTTCTTCATTTTTTGTCTGTAGCCATAATTCCCTGATATAGCAGATTAAGGCTTTCTTTTGCAGTTGCTTAAATTAATCATTAGTTAAAATAAAGACAATGCATTTTGCACTAAAAGAACATACTTTTAGCCTGCTGCTTTGAATGTAACACCTGTTTGAGAAGTAATTCTGTGACCTATGCATTTGAATTTGTCCGTCTTCACTGTCTAAATTAGTCAATGGGGTGTGTGAGAACAAAAATATGTGAGAGAATAGTGCTAGTGTCGGCATACATATTGCAACTGCAAAATATATATTTGTGAATGTGTATGTTGGTATTCATATAAGAAGTCCTTGGTGTTTATACTTTCAAAAAATAATTTTCACTCATGTATAGGCCTCTGTGCTTTTTCAACAGTACATGAGCATGCTAACAGAAGTTTTATTGTAGTTTCCTTTTCTTTTTACTTTTTCCATCTAGATCTAGTCAGATTCGCTGTCTCAGTCTCTTTTTGACTCCTGGTTGGTTCTGACCACCCTGTCGACAGTCTGAGATAGGACCATGGCGTATGCACTCATCAGACCAATGCGGAGGCTCATCACCAAAAAATTTGGCGGTATTTTTCTTTTTTTCCCCCTTTTTTCTCACAGGAAATATGTCTTTTTCTTTTGGGAATAAAGAGTGATTTTTTTTCATCATTGCTTAAATTTATGGGTCAAGTCTACATTATTTACTTTTTCTTGAATGAGATTTTACTTTGGTCATTACTTTAATTTTTTGCATTTCAAGATAGTTTTAGTGACAATGCAACTCAAAGAGGACAGGCACTTTGCACATCTGAACTACTCTTCAAGGCACAAGATTACACCATGTCCGTACACTCTGTTCCATGTGTAGTGATACGATTGTTTCCAGGCTTTGATATTAATTGGCTGTAAGATTTCAGTCATGTTTGCCATGCCACAGAAGAAAGTCTGCCTTTCTCCTCGTTCTGTTAGCACCCATATGAAACAGCTGATCATCGTTTCATCCTCTACCCAGTAAGCAATGAAATTATCTCATGAAAAAAAATTGCCCTCATCTTTGGTATGAAGCAAATGTTGAGAGTGACTATCTGTTTTGATCGAGTGCTGAGAGGCTGGTATGAGATAGTCTATTGAGACACTTTTTGATGCAGTTTTCACGGGTGAATTAATGTCTACAAACCTCCAAGGTTCAAGGATTTTCCTGTTCTGCAAATTCAGTGTTTTAAGATGACCAACTTGTTGGTTCAATTAATTCAGATTTATGATGACTATCCTTTTGCTGTAAGTTTCTGTCTGTGCACTGCCCGTTAGTGTTCTCACAGAGTACAATTTCTGTTGTATGTGGATGTATACCTGGGCCTGTGCATGTGTACAATTGCTTTTGGTGCTCAATAGATTTGACCGTTCTCCCCCACTGTGATAAAATGTCTTGGTTAGATTCTTGGTACCGAGCTGAAAGTAGGAAATTTTTTTCAGTACTGAATATGATGAGTACACGAATGTGAACTGGAACTGTGGTAACAAGGCCTTTAAGCATTGTGAAATTTGATTTTTAAGCCATTATGATTAGTGCTGACTGAGGTTACTACTAATTTTTTTGCTCTGCAGGTTATAAAAAGTTCCTCCTTGTCCTGACCTCCCTGGCTCTGATCCTCTATACGCTCAAGTCTTTATTCATCAATGACGGTATGATACTCTTCTGTTGTTGTTTTACAGTAATTTTTAGCAGGCTTGTGATAGATTTTCGTTACTGATGACTTTATTTCAAGATTGGTCAAAGGAAAAGTGCGAATGATATACGATAGAAAGATGGTAGCCTTGTAAAATTAAATTCAGGAGAGAGTTGTTATGGTATGGGTTTGCTTGTTGTGTGTTTTGCCATTCCTTGTTATCTTTATAGTCTGCAAGTCTCTCAGTCATGTGAATGTCCATGCGGAGTAGGACTGAATACTCTTTGCCATATATATTCCTTGTGCTGCTCATCAGGCCATGACCAGTGCTGCAAGATTTGTCAGAGAGGTGCAAAACTAGATTGCAGAGAAAATCTTTGGAAATATCGTCAGCAAAAAAATCAAGAAATAGGAAAATTGAAGAAAAAAGATTCATTTTGTTGTGCAGACATACACAAATAATGTTGTAAATGAATCAACAGAGATGGATTGCCAGTGGATTTATATGATGATTGGCAGGTTCACTTCAATTATCTTTGATTGTTTTCTAGAATGTTATGATTTTTTTCTGTCAAAATATGAATTTCTGACGACAAAATTTGTTTGAACTGTGAAGTGAAACTTTGCAGCCATGTAATTTAAAATAAATTTTAAACTCCTTATAGCCTGGTGTTTAGTCAGTTACTGTGTGCGTTCTTGTGTGGTTGTAAGTTGTATGATTTGAAAATGCTTTTAGGAAACGTTTCAGCTGTTTGAAGTGGTCTGTCCGAATTTTGACTTCCTTATTCCCCAAACAAGCATTTACAAATGGATCATCTCAAC